CTTCAGCAATACAAGTCCTTTCTTAAATAGAACTAGTTTATTCTTTCTCAATACAACTTTGCAATACACTTAATTTCCACAGTCACGCTATAAGTTAAACAAACGCTATAATTCACAACGAATGATTCACGCGCTTGACTCAATTGTCCATCTCTATCTCTGTCTGCAATTCAATTCCATTGTTGCCGTCACTTCTTGGCGGTCTTATATACAATAATACCGCACATCTAGTAAACACTCGAGCATTCAAGAACCTTCGAGAATATCATGATATGTTACTAGAGTCACGTGACTTCCGCTGTCATAACAGTAGTGTTGTCCATCATCTTACAGTTTAGGCTATGTTCTTCAAATTTGTCCGAGTTGACAGCTCGTTAACATTTGATCTTTACAAATAACATAGACTAAAATAAGCATGAATTATAACTACCAAATTACCAAGATTAACTTAACTTTGATACAAGTCTGGTACATTACAGTACAATTCTTGTATACTTTTTACTCAGTTAAACTCTCTTACTGACCTTTGTTCATTAGCCACATGACCACTAAATAAGTGTTCTGTGTTGTAATAAATCAGATGAAGCATATTATTTTTTTCGTTTTCATTACGTGATAGAGAACTGATTGTTTCTCAAAGATTTACTGTTTAACTTTACTGTTATTTAAAATAGCAACACTTACCATTCACTTGAAGTTCTATACATAAAACATTGAGATTGTCTGACATCAAAAACGCTATTTCTTAAGAGGTCGTCACGTGGTCACACATACGAAAGGTGTGTGCTATTTCAACATATTACTGACATATAACAGCAGATGGCAAGATTAGAAATTTTGCTCTTGTGTTTTCTTAAAACAAGTAACGCTTTCGTTTCTACAAACCAGAAATTATATTTCTGTATCTTTCATTTAAACATATTAATTTTCCAAATGCAAATAAGGACCTTTATCTATAAATCAAGTGATTATTTCAAAGATCTTTGGTAGCATGAATTATACAATTCCGTGTTTTTATACAAAACTCACATTTTGTCACAATCCAATATGCTATTGTACATACTTAACTAAACTTCAGGTAGTTTAAATGATCTACATAAATAATAATTAGTATTGTTATCTCTGTGTCTAGAACTTTGTTTTTTATTAACTTCATATAGTCTATACGTTTACTTGGTATCTTTCTGCCTATTCGTGAAATGAATCACGTGTTCGATATCCAAGACCACTGACAGCTCTATAAACTTTGGTTGTAGAAAATATACAAGGCAGGACATCAAGTTTATAAAAGATATGATTTTTTGTGTTCACTAAAACAGATAATACATAAGTTTTTTTGTAAATCAATATGAGGATAAACTCCGATTATCCCAGTGCTTGTCTATAATATTATCTGGATGATCTCTGAATGAGACCTCGAGGCTGTTATCAAAAACTGTGTCCCCTAATTTTTCTTTTTACCGACAGAAGTAATAACACTGTAATGATAATATGTTCTGCATTGTACACCTGTTTACCATTAAAAGATTGCTTTTTATTGATGATCTCAAAACTTCTTTCAAATTGTAAAACATTCTCTCATCTCTGCTAGACACCATTTATTCTTTAATATAATAACATATGTAACTGTAACTTAAGGAGAACTGTATGATAATGTGTTATGACTTTCACTTATTTCTGTTACTAAAGTGAACATCACAAATTTTTGAAATCTTATAACAACTTCATTGACGATTATAATGTAAAACCTATTACATGTAAATAATTACACTTTGAAGTAGTTAGACTATATATAGATCTTGGTGAGTTATATTTGTAAAAAATGGTAGTTTTAAACGACAAGTGTGTAAGTTCTAGATGGAAAACAGAAAGTAGCAACTTATAAACAGAAAATTATTTCGTAGTGTATCATGAAATACTGAGAATTTCATA